GGCTTCATCTCAGGAATGCAGGAATGGTTCAATATACAAAAATCTATCAATGCAATCCTCCATATTGAAAGAAGAAAATCCACATGATCATCTTATTAGATGCTGAAAAAGCCTTTGACAAAATCCAACACCCCTTCATATTAAAAGTCATGGAGAGATGCATACCTAAAAATAGTAAAGGCAATATACAGCAAGCCTTTAGCCAATATCAAATTGAATGGAGAGAAACATAAAGCAATTCCACTGAAATCAAGGACAAGACAAGGCTACCCACTCTCTCTGTAGCTCTTCAATATAATACTCAAAATCTTAGCTAGAGCAATAAGAGCACTAAAGGAGATCAAGGGGATACAAATTAGAAAGGAAGAAGCCAAAGTATTGCTATTCACAGGTGATATGATAGTATACATAAGTGACCCCAAAAATTCTACCAGGGAACTCTTACAGCTGATCAACACTTTCAGCAAAGTGGCTGGATACAAAATTAGCTTAAAAAAAAATCAGTAGCCCTTCTGTATACAAATGATTAATGGGCTGAGGAAAAAAAATCAGAGAAACAACATCCTTCACAATAGCCACAAATAATACAAAATATCTTGGTGTAACTAACCAAACAAGTGAAAGACCTGTTTGACAAGAACTTCAAGTCTCTGAAGAAAGAACGTGAAGAACATATCAAAAGATGGAAAGATCTCCCAGGCTCATGGATCAATAGGATTAACATATTAAAAATGATCATTTTACCAAAAGCAATCTATAGATTCAATGCAATTCTCATCAAAATATCAACACAATTCTTTACGGACCTTGAATGAATAATTCTCAACTTCATATAGAAAAACAGAAAACCCAGGATAGTTAAAACAATCCTGTGCAATAAAAGATCTTGTGGAGGTACCACCATCCCTGATTTCAAGCTGTACTGCAGAGCAATAATAATAAAAACTGCATGGTATTGGCATAGAAATAGACAGGTTGATCAATGGAATTGAAACAAAGACCCAGAAATAAGCACACACTCCTTTAGATGCCTGATTTTTTTTTTTTTATAAAGAAGCCACTTTAAAAAAATAAGTTTTGCAGTTTCTCAGAAAATTGGGAATAGACCTACTTCAAGACCCAACTATACCACTCCTATGCATATACCCAAAGGATATATGTTTCACTATACCACAAAGACACTTGCTCAACTATGTTCATAGCAGTTTTATTTGTAATAGCTAGAAACTGGAAACAACCTAGATGTCCCTCAACCAAAGAATGGATAAAGAAACTGTAATACATTTGCACAATGGAGTAGTATTCAGCTGTTAAAAACAATGACATCATGAAATTTGTAGGCAAATGGATGAAACTAGAAAAGATCATTCTGAGTGAGGTAACCCAGAACCAGAAAGACAAGCATTGTTACTATTACTATGTTATTTTATTTTGTTTGTTTTTTCAAGACGGTTTCTGTGAATAATACCTCTGGCTGTCCGGTAACAGTTGTGTAGCTCAGTCTTCATGTGGGACTCCTAAAGTGGGAGCAGGGTCTGTCTCTGACTACATTGTCTGTCTTTGGGTCTCTTCTTCCTACTGGGCTGCTTGTCCAGCCTCAGCAGAAGAAGACACACCTAGTTTTACTGCAACTTGATATCCATGGGAGGCCTCCCTTTCTGAGGAGAAGGAGAGGAGGGATGGATTGGGAGAAAGGTGAGGTGAGTGGGAGGACTGGGAGGAGAGCAGGGAGGGGAAGCCTGGACTGGGATGTATAGTAAATAAACAACTTAATGAATAAACAAAATGTTAAAAGCCAAAATCTGAAATAACTAGATATCTACATGCAAAAGAATCAAACTGGATCCTTATTTTTCACCCTGCACAAAACAACTCCGAATGGATCAAGAACCTCAAATTCATACCACAAACTCTGAAATGGATAGAAGAGAAAACAACGGAGTACATTTGCAGATACAGGTATAGGTAAGGACTTTCTGAACAGGATTCTGATTGCCCAGGAGGGCCAAATTATCAGTAAATGTGACCTCGTAGAATTAAAAGCAGGAACAGAGACAATTGTCAATCAAATTAAAAGACTGCATATAGATTGGGAGAAAAAATTTTCAAACTATACGTTCAACAGAGGATTAGTATGTAGAATATATAGAGAACTCAATAAACTAAACATCAAGAAAACACACAACCGAATCAATAAAGGGGCTAAAGAGATTTCTCAAGAAACACAACTAGTCAATTAATACTGTGAAAGCATGCCTCACCTCCTTAGCCACCAGGGAATAAAAATTAAAGCAACTTTGAGGTGTCACTCAGTCAGAATGGCTATTCATCAAGAAATCAAAACACAAACCATACTGGCAAGGGCGTGGGGAAGGAGGAACTCTCCTCTCACTTGGTGGTGAGAGTGGAGACTGGTGCACTTTCCATTGAGCACCCTCTACGGAAAGTCGTGTGGGGGTCCCTCAAAAAGCTGAAAATAGAACGACTATGTGACCCAGCCACACCATTTCTGGGCACATATCCTAAGGATTCCAAATCCTGCTACAGACACACGTGTGCACCCGTATTTACTGTGTTTTTATTCACCGTAGCTAGGAAATGGAGTCAGTGTAGATGGCCACCAACTGTTGTGTGGATAATGAAAATGTGCTCTATATACACAATGGGATTTTTTCAGCTGCAGAGAAAAATAAAAACTTCAGGTGCATGAACAGTGAAGTATGTACTCAGTGAGGTGACCCGGGCCCAGAAAGACAGTGACACACGTTCTTCCTCAATGTGCATCTGAGTTTCAAGGTTTTACACTTATGTATTTAATATGTAGTGTCTGTAGCGGTCAGTAAGCCAGAAAGTTCCCGTAAGGGGTGGGGGGAGGGGAGAAGATGCTTTCAATGTGGGAAGGGAATAGTAGAACTCACGTGAGTGAAAGTAGATGGGGGAATAGTGGGAGTTAAAGGTTTCAGTAGGGCTGAGGTAGGGGTAGGGGTACTAATATGGATGAAAAAGCCTTGCCGGGTGCAGTGGGGGCATGACTTTAATCTCAGCACTCAGGGAGGCAGAGGCAGCGGATTGCTGTGCGTGCAGGGTCAGCCTGGTCTACAGAGCGAGTCCAGGACAGTCAAGGCTACACAGAGAAAATCCTGTCTTGAAAAAAATCAAACCAAACTAAAACAAAAAACCCAACAACAGCACAAAGAAAAAAAAAATCCTTATGGAGATCCAATGCTTTGTATGTTAATTAAAGGTAATTTTTAAAGAGGTTTTGAATGAATTGCTTAACATCATCAAGAACATCTCCGGTCCCAGCACGTGGGAAGCAGAGACAGGAGGAACCGAAAGTGTGAAACCAGACTGGACAGCATAGTGAGTTCTAAAGCAGCCGGATAACAAAGTGAGTGAGACCATCCGTCAAAATCATCATACTGGCCGGGCTGGGGACATACATAGCTCAGTTGGTAGAGGGCTAAAGTGGAAACATACTTTTGGGAAACTGCCGCAATTGGCCTGTTGCATGTGAGTTGCCGAGAACCTTGAATCTGTAAAATGCAATTATCCCTTAAGCAAGAAGATGATTAACAAAGAATGCTAAATCTGGTCCCGAGATAGCCTCAATGTTTGAGAGTCCTTTTCTCCCGAGTAATGATGGATTTCTTAACCCTTTCCAGCTTGCCAGAACAGCTTTTGGCTAAGTGACTAATGGGTGATAATTCCATCTTTATATAAAATGCGTGGGGGTTCTTTTTAAAGGTTAAGACAGACTTAGCTTGGAGCCAGGGGTATAGTCTGGCGATGCAGTGTCTACCCAGCAGCGCAAAGGCTCTGGCTTCCAACCTAGATGGCAAGAACTTGGCTGAATTGCTTCTTCTTGTTCTTCCTTAGCCCGTTATTTACTTTCTTTGGAGAACACTGTTTTCTTGTCACCCGTACAAAGCACAGGTACCCAGGACTGCTGGTTTCATATCTTCTTATTTGTCAGTGGCGTCGCGTCTTGCTAGTGTAGCCTCCCCCTGCCAAACTCATGCTGCCCAACTAAGCTTCTACTCTCAGTGCTCAGCATCAACCCTAACGCTGAAAACGTGGACGCCGCCGCCCCTCCCCCACCTTCAGAGACGCGCTGATTCCAAGTCTGTAACCGTGAATGGGCGCGTGAGCCTGTGTAAACACGCTCTGAGGCCAGGGAGGGGAGAGGAGAGTCCTTTCGGGTACTCGCTCCCCGAACCCAGGGCTGGAACTTTCTGGGCTAGGCTGAAAGCCCGCAGGCCCCAGTGGTTCTCCAGGCTCCGGCCGCCTCGAAACCGGGGTATGAGCCGTCCGTGAGATTATGAGGGTGCACAGCGAGCATTCTTAGGCACCGCTCCAAGCGGACATTTCTCCAACACCCAGTTCCACTTAGAGACGGATTAAATGAAAAGAGGCTCGCAAAGCCCCACTCTGCGATCCCATTGTATCCCGCTGCCCTTCCTCGGTGTTAAGCACTTCCTGGTGACGGAGCAGCGACCGACCAGCGTGATGTTTGAAGAACGGGGCGAACAGCATCTCTTTTCCGACGTGGGACTGTGCCGGAGAAGCCGGTTTTTAGGGCTCAGGGAACGGGTAGGGCGACGGGAGTAAAGGCCCTAAGGGCATCCGCGGGCAGACCTGTAAGCCACGCGTGCAGTCACGAGACCTTTGGCCTTGAGCGGCAGGGGCGGGGCAGAGCGGGGCGTGGCCAGGGAGGGCGCGGTACAAGGGAGGAGCACGGCACCCTATAGGACCCACGGAGTGCAGGAGCAGGGCGTGGCGCTAGGGGGGGGTGGGGCTCTGGGGTGGGGCGAGGGCGGAGCTAAGAGGGCGGAGCCCGGGGGAGAAGGCCAGGCTTATTGGGGAGGAGCTGAGGAAGGGGGCGGAGCTTAGCGGGACGAGGGCGGGAATGAGGAGGAGAAACTAAGTGGGTGGGACAGATGGGCGTGTCCTGGGCCGAGGGCGGGGCTTAGGGGGCGTGGCCGTGCGGGTCCCGGCGAGGCTGGGCGGTTTCTGGTGGCATGGCTGGTGCTCGCGCAGGTCTGGCGGATCCTGCCTGGCAGCCGTAGGGCGGACTCAGGGCTCGAGGCAAGGGCTCCTTTCGTTTCCCGCGGCCATGGAGCGGCTGACGTTGCCTCCCGGTGGCGCGGCCGCGGTGGACGAGTACCTAGAATACCGGAGGTGAGGCCTTACTCTGCTCCGTGGGGCGGGCTCCGATTCCCGTCTAGGTCTCTGTCATCGGAGCACCCGGGACGAACAGGGACCCGGCTGGAGAGCGCAGTAGGGCTCCGGGAGTCCGTTCCTAGGCTGTTCGAGAGGCCTGGAATAATTTCACATTTCATCTTCTGTAATTAAATATGATGACACACGGTTCTATTCTGTAGTGAATTTCTTCTGAGTCTCCCTTGCCAAAAGGGGTGATTAACTACCTCTATAATGGGTCCTTTTTTATTTCTCTTGGTGACAATTGAAGAATTACATATTGATCACTTGGGGCCTATAAAAGTGAATAGACGTCAATGTGCACATTAATTCAGTGATGGGTAAGGCGTAAACTGGGGAATGCCTCCAAGCCCAGGGGGGTGGTTTAGGGCTGAGTTTCTGAGACTCCTCTCCCAAAGCTGGGGACACAGCTGCTTGCTCCTTTGACTGGAGGTCGCACAAAGGCTGATGCCTCTGCCTCCGGTCCGTATCTCCTAAGAAAGGTTTCTTTTTGACTGTTGGGAAACTGGGGAGAATAGGGGCTGCAGACGACTTGGCAAGACGATGAAGGAAAGGCCAAATGTATGGAGCTTCTCCCAGGTCGTCCAAGGGTGTCTAGGCATACTGCCCCACTAGCGTAGTTTTGGGTAATGTTTAGAACTGTCTGAAGAGTCTTAAAAGGAAAAGCAAGAAGGAACAGCTTGATTAGTCCGTCTTAGGTTTCTATTGCTGTGATAAAACATCACAATCAAAAACAGCTTGAGGAGAAAAGGGTTTCTTTCAGCATGTACCTCGTGCTCCATTTCCCGAGGAGGACAGGGCAGGGGCAGATGCTTTACTGCTTTGCTGCTGGTGGCAGGCTCAGCCTGCTTGCTTATAATAGCACTGTAGGCACCGCCCAGGAGTGGCACTGCCCATAGTGAGCTGGGCTCTCTTAAGTCAGTCTGCAGTCAAACCACAGGCTTGCCCACAGGCCAATCTCACGAGCGGGGAGCGAGGTCTGTCTGACTCTGGCTTGTGTTGAGTTGACGTAAACCTAACCAGCACACAGTCCTCGCATTCACCACATACTTCCCTCTCACCCAGAGCAGGGCTGGCTTCGCTGGTTTTGCTCTCTGGCTTTTCCTTAAACTTTCACTCTTCTCTTGTCCAGGAAATGCTAGGGACGGGCCTGTGGAAGGTGACCTTTGCAAGTATAAATATCATGGAACATGTCCATTTAGGAGAGATCATCATGTTCTTTACCGTCAACAAATTCTGAGAAACATGAGGACTTGGGCTCCTAGATTTAAAAAGGTTATATATGGGGGAGGCTTTGAAAATGATCACTGTTAGAAACAAACCTTCCTACTGTCAGGGCCCAGGCCTGTAATTTCAGCCCTGAGGCATTGTCTGAGAGGGTAGTGAGTTCAAGGTCCGTTTAAACCACATAGAGAGAAGCTGCTGAAAAAACGAAGGACTGAGATGTAGCAATGGTAGAACCATTGCCCAGTTAAGTGCAAAGTCCTGGGTTCTGCAAACAAACATAAAAAATGCCAAGACAAAAGCTTCCCCAGTTTCCTTGAATTTTGACTTGCCTTTGGTGGGAGACACCTGGGAGGGAGTATACAGTCTTTCTACTCAGTGTCAAAAGTTGGGGTACCTGGGGCTTACTAGAAAAACAGGATCTCAGGCTTACCCAGATTCAGTAACTCAGTTCAGCAGGCGAGCAAGATGCCCTGGAGACAGGGGACATACAATAAAGTTTGAGCTGTTCTGTTTGCATTTATCCCTCACTCTTTCTGGTACCTGCTGGTATTCTTTGATGGCTGTAATTAAAACTTTATCTCAGAATAAGTGCATCAAAAAAAACCTATTGTGTATCTAGAGTATTTACGCAAAGGAGAGAACAATCAAAGCAAATAAAGGGGAGAAAAAAAAGGATAAGCAACAGGGGAAGAACGGAAAGAAGGCAACAGGCACACGCAGCGAAGGAAGATACAGAACTGTCTTTCCAGTTCTAACTGTCATGCAGTTTTTTTGTTTGTTTTCTTGGTGGATAAGTGCATAAAATATACTAAATAGTGTAAGTGTAAAGCTTCAGAATGGCCATTCTAACTTTGCAAAAGTCTGTGAGATGTATAGACTTTGGGGCTGGTTAATCTTAGTGTGTGACTTGTATTATATTTGCAGGTTTTTAAAAGTTTACTTAAAAACAACAAGAAGGAAGATTGTGCTGCTTGTATAGCTTATGAATTGGGTTTCTATTTTCTACTCCAACTAGCTACTTCAAAATATGAAAAAGTGTGTAATGTACAAAAAAAAACATTCTATAAACAGCACTTTCTGGGAATTAAAGGGAGATATTTTCAAAGAGAAATTTCTTCCACTTTGGCAATTTTTTTTACTTTTTTTAATGTATTTTTTTCTTTATTCTCCCAAAGCAAATTTTTTCTCATAGAAATACTGCAGGATGTTTTTTTTCCCATAAAATCAAATTACACTTTGAAACATCTGATCACCCACTACATACCATGAGTTTGAGCTTGTGTAAATCAAAGCATGTTTTCAGAGATCACATGACCTTCAGCTTCTGTCCATAGGTCAGAGGTCAGGTATGGCAAGCAGTTATGCTGGCTTCTACATTGATGTATTTTTAATTTTAGGTACTGTTTTTAAAGGATGAAAACATAATTTTTAGCAGTTTAAGCTCAAGATTTTTATTTTCTTGAGACAGGGTCTTGCTGTGTAGTCCAGTCTGGCCTCCAGCTCGTCTTCCTGCCTCAGCCTTTTTAGACGGGATTCCAGGAGTGAAACCCCATCTGGCTTGGGCTCTAGCTTTTAATGAGAAGAATGAATGTTTGTTTCAGAATTAAAGGAGACATTGACGTGGGTATGTGATGATTCTCCACTGGCAAACCTTGATATGTGTGCAGCTACTTCTCTGTTGCCGTGATGAAATACCATGGTCAAAAGAAATGGCTCCAGATGGGCAGGAGTGGCGTGGTGGCAAGACGGGAAGATGGCTGACCATGCTTTGTCTTCACACAGGAAGCAGAGTAGGGAGAGAGCAGGAAGTGGAGAAAGCTATGGTCTCTGAAAGCTGCCCCTGAGTAGTGGACGTCCTCCAGCAAGGCTGCACCTCCTAATGGTCCCCTAACCTCACCAAACAGCACCACCACCTGGGGACCAAGTCACCTGGGGACCAAGTGTTCAGATACGAGAACCTGTGGGAGATATTTCCCAGTTGAACCACAATCAGTAAAGTCGTGTTTTAAAAAGGAAGGGTGACCAGGGAAAAGCTTACAGAGCCAAGTTTTACACAGAGTGGGAGTGGAAGAAAATAAACACACAGGAAATCCTGTACCTTCATGCTGAGGTCTGTTGAATAGTGCGCAGCCATGGAGAAAAATGACCATAGGACAAGACAGTATGACCTAATGAACCAGGGAACTTAGGAAGGCCTGTTTGTGTACATTCTTCTCTGGGCTGTTGAATCTTCAGAGAGAAATATGTCCCTTCTCTCAAGGCAGAGAAGGAGGCTCCTGGAATGAGGGAAGAATATTCGGGATGGTGGGAATGGCATCTCTGCTTGTACATGCCGAACTCCATCAGAAGCAAAAGTTGTATTGTTACTGTTTGAAATTTGGCTGTGTATTTGCATTCAAAGTCAAAAACCCAAAGTCAAAGCCACTTTTTATTTAAATATACAAGAATAATTTAATTTTAGAGTTTGGTATTTTTGGCCTGGAAAATACTCAAGGGTTAAAAGCAATGCTTGTTGTTGTTGTAGAATTGTTGGTGAGGATGATGGAGGGAAACTTTTTACTCCTGAAGAATATGAAGAATACAAGAAGAAAGTTTTACCCATGCGTTTACAGAACAGACTGTTTGTGAGCTGGCGGTCACCAACAGGAATGGATTGTAAACTTGTTGGCCCAGAGACACCCTGTTTTTGTACACATAGGTAAGATATTGTATCATCTTTTTTTAACTTTTTATTTTTAAATTGTGTGTGTGTGTGTGTGTGTGTGTGTCTGGGTGGGTATGTGCAGGTGGCTGCTGAAGCCTGGGGCATCAGATCTGCCTGGAGCTGAGCTCCAAATGGCTGTGAGCCACCTGAGAGCCACAGGGAGCCAGCGTCTTGAAGTGTTTGTGCCTGAGCCACTTCTCCAACCCACTTTATCACTTCTTTTCTGATGGCTAGAAAATTAAAACTACAGCAAAAACATATCTTCCTTCTTTACGTAACAGCAATAAGATCAAGAAACAGGTGATGCTGGCATTTACGTAGCGCAGTAGAACTACGACGAGCTTTCCTTCTCTGTTAAACTCAACACAGTCTGTCACCATGAGCAGCTCTTGTCTTGCCGTTGGTGACACAGGACGGCGGGTCTTTCAGTCTGGTGAAAGCAGCCTCTGCTGGTCCTGTTATTAGATTGGTAGACACTCAGTGTCACACTGATCCATGCTAGTCAGGCTGCTTGCCCACCAGTAGACCCACTCCTCAGGTAGGAATCACTCCCCCCACCCTCAGGGAGTGCTGGATTGGAGTTTTTCATTCTCTATTTGTTTGCTCATTTCTTGGAGAGAGGGTCCCATCATTAGCCCAGGCTGGCCTGGAACTTGGGGTGTAATCCTCAACTAGCTTCAAACTCATGACTTTTCTGCCTCCCAGGTGCTGGGATTACAGGCATGCACCACCATACCTGGCTCCACACCCTGAACAAACAAAAATGCAAATCCTTTTGACTTCAAGTTGTGTTCAAGAACATTACCCAGAGGACGGATATGAGGGGCCAGTCATAATGTCTGTTGTTTATTTTGTCATGCATGTGCTATTCCTTCCAATTTCTCTATCATCTCACAGTAGGAAATATCAACATGATCAAACTGCTTCCCAAAAAGTACGAGACGAAAACCCACTGAGCCTGGTACCCATATTTAGGGACCAGGTCTAGCTTTTCGGTCTAAGGAATGCATTCAAGGAGAACCACCCTGTTTCAACAGCAGCCTCTGAGGCTCTTCTGAGTGACTCTTTGTCTAGTTGCTATTTACAGAGTTTCAGTTTGCCAGAAGTTGTTAGGCAGTTGCTAGGATGAGTAATGTACATAGATTGGCTTTAAACTTACCTTGAAACCATAACTAAAAACACTATGGAGAAATGGAGGATGATGGTTACATGTTGATATCTGTTGAAACTGAGGGGGTTGGGCAAATTCGTGGTCGTCTTGTAATTTGTGCTTGTGAGCATTTAATGAACATTTAATTCTCTGTGGAGTTTGTGCAGCCTGAAAATGACCCTCAATCCAATTCAACGACAAGGAAAATTTTTCTGTAGTATTCATCACTTAATAAAATTCCTATCCAACGTATGTTTTTTCTGTTTATAAAAGTGAAACCTGGCTATTAAGGGCACAGGAAATATGTAGAAAAGTAGAACACTCAGCGCCCAGAGCCTGCTGCTGATAGTGCTTTTCATTTTATCTGTGAAATTTTCTTGTTGCATTGTTATTTACTTGTATGTTCTGTGTAAGCAGAAAATATAACATTGTTTTTTCACAAGTGAATCACGGAAAATGTGTATGCATGTGGCTATTAGGAATCTCAAGGCAAGTTTTTAATAATTGCTCTGTGTTCCAGCTAGTCCCATGGTGTTCACTGTTGTTCTTGAAGCCGTGTGACCCGGAGGTGTGCCAGGCAGAAAGGCAGGCTACATAAGAGGGGGCTCCAGCTCCTGTTCTTTCCTTGGCTTTAACCACTTCAGTGTTTAAGTATTTTATATGTAGCATTGTGATTCTATAAAAGTTTCTTTCTAAAGAGAGGGTGGAGGTCAATGGGTCCAGAGGATCAAACTCAGGGCGTTAGGCTTGGCAGCAAGAAGAGCCTTTACCTGCTGAGGCCTCTCATAGGCCTTTAGTTTTCTTGCTGTGTGGAATTTTATATAATTTTACCAAGTATGTGTACGTGTGTGTGAGAGAGACAGAGGCAGGAAGAGCGGGAGCAAGCGAGAGGGAGAGAGATAGATAGATAGAGACAGACAGACAGACACACAGAAAGAGAGAGCATGAGGACACAGGCCTGTCAGGACACAGTGTGGATGTGCAGAGGATAATTAAAGGAGGTGGTTCGCTCCTCTCCCCATATAGGTTGTCGGTATCAAAATATGGTCATCAGATTGGCAGCAAACACCTTTACCCTCTCGCCAATCCCATCACACTTTAGTTTTTTGCCAGGGTCTTGCTGTATAGCCCAGGCTGGCCTCACACTCATGATCTTCCTGCCTCCGCCTTCTGAATGCCGAGCTCAGAGGGGGATACTGCCACACCCGACTTGAGAGAAAGCATGTTTATAAAGAGCTGTTTTGTATGGCTGGCTATAAGTTAGTAGTGGACCATTTGCTCAGCATACATGGTGCCTTGGGTTTGATTTCTAGCACAGTCCCCATAAAAGGAACGTTTTCAGTCACTGCGGATATGCACCCAGACTAAAGAACTGCAATGACAAGTATTTTAAGGGAATTATATTTCTTTATATGGTTGTGAAACTTTTTAAATAACCAAAAATTAAAATCCAAAAAAAAAGTGAAGATTACTGACCAAAGCTGAGAGAAATGCGCACGTGGGTGGGAGTGTTTATTTTACCTCATTAAAGCAAATATGAAGATAAAACAGAATCAAAATAATTACGTGTGCATCTAGTAACGATAAATTGTAATGTTTGACAATATCCGAGCTGTGTTTTTGTGTTTTAAAGGTATAAACAGCATAAGACTGACTTTGAAACAGTTCCCCAGGAGCGCCCCATCGACCTGCCTTGCCAAGTGCCGAGGTGCCGGTGTCAGGCTTACCACTACGTCCCTCTGAATGGCACCCAGCCCATCCGCTGCAGGTGCAAGCACTTTGCTGACCAGCACACGGCTGCACGTGGCTTCACGTGCAATGCCTGTGAGTTCCGTTCTTACACACTTACAGACTGCTTTACTTTCTTATTAAATCCTTTTGGTTGTTGTTGTCATTTTTTGCTTTTTTTTTGAGATGAGGTTCCTCACTGTAGCCCTGGCTGTTCCAGACTCACTTTGTAGAGCTGACTAACCTCAGAGAGATCCGCCTGCCTCTGCCTCCCTGAGTGCTGGGATTACAGGCGTGCACCGCCACCACCCAGCTTTTATTAAATACTTAATGAATTTTTAGAACGGTTTATTTAGCTACAGATTCAGTATTTATCTACAAAGCAAAATTCAATGGGTAGATACTCAGTTCTTGGAATGTTTATAAAGTTGCAGTGTCGTAGAATTTAAATAATTTAAGTAATTGTGATTGATTAGATTTTAAAGAATTGCTAGACACTACCTGATTAAAAGTTTGCTTGCTTGCTTTTCCATTCCTTTCCCCTCCCTCCCTCCCTCCCTCCTTTCCTCCCTCCTTCCTTCCTTCCTTCCTTCCTTCCTTCCTTCCTTCCTTCCTTCC